TGTAAGGTATAAATTGAAGTCAATATCATTTGCTGCATTTGAAATTCCTGTAGAAGCTCAACACAATTCGAAATTATAAAATCGTCTCGTGTTTAAATATAGTCTGGTGTTAGTTTCTAGCAACATTTGACATGTTATCATGTAAATAGGGCTAGAAATGTATATACAATATCATTGTTTACACATTTGATATTATCCATGTGTTTGTAGTTACACAGCACATGTTGAAATGTTATAAGTAAATATATATGTCGCAACTAGAAAAATGCTCTATACTTTAGTTTTATTATATGACAGATTCACTGATAATAAAAAAAGTTTTTAATGTAGTTGTTTTCGACGTATCTTGAATAAAGTATGTGTACTATTGCTAAAAGAAAGTTCTATAGAATGTATTTAAGTTTTGAAATGTATAAAATATAATATTTTACCCCTTATTAAATAGTGAAGATCCTGTGAATTTTTATGTATTTCTGTGATATATACTTACTTTTAAAAAATCTGTATTATTATTTCCGTTATTTTTTAGCCACATGAAAGTAAACTCTTTAGATAACTAGTTTTCTCTTCATCTTACATTTAACTAAAAAGCCCTAAAATAGCCGAAAAGATTATTCTATAAAACAGCAGGTATTTTAGTTAATCTTCTATTATTTTTATTATTATATTGTCATACGATATTATATATATATCATAACTGTACCACATAACACTTATATCAAAATCAAGTGGATTTCTACTTTAGAAAATGATCTCATTTTTAAGATATACTTCTACAAAACAACAACAACAAAAAAACCCTCGTTCAACAATCTATAAACATTGTTTTTGCAGTAATTAGATATTTGACTTAAAGAGTTCTGGCTATATTTGACCATTCCAGATTTTTAGAGACAAATATGATAAATAGAATATGTGCTGAAAACTACAAGGTAGTAAGAATCCTATATGATGCTTCAAGTGGATTCGGTTTTCAAGATATTAGCGAAAGTTATATGGCATTTACACAAAAACAGTTTGAAATCCACACTGAACTTAAATATGTAATTTTTATAACATCAAAGCTAGTCAAAAGTGAATGTTTCATCAGTTGCATTAGAAAAATGTGCTGTTTCTTGCTGATTATAAACCATTACATGAAATACACAACCATGTAGTACAAAAGCGTTACTAGAGCAGCGGTTCCCAACCTTCTTCTCTTCGCAAACCTCTTGAGTAATAATAGTTTTAACATAAAACCGTTTTTAAGCAGTAATACATTTTTAAAATAAAATAATATTTGAAGGTGTTGAATTTATTGAAAATAAAAAGTTTCTGTAACACATAATATGTAATACGTTTACAATAAAATCTGAATCTCTGATATTCTCATCAAGTTGCAGTTAGTACCCAGTAAAACTGAAATATAATTCTTGAAGCAGGATAAAAAAATTAAAACAAATCAATTTAACTAAAACTAATGCAATTTCTGAGCTTGTTTTGAAAAACACAGTGCTGATGATACAGTGTTAATAAAAAACTAGATTCTGAATTATCGATCTGAAAATTCGATATTATATTCATAAATGAACTAAATGATAGTATATTAAAGGCTTCATAATAAGCAACATTTTTGTAAGATGTTTCTTTTACAGAGACATGAAATGTTTACACCTTGCGCAAGTGTTTCTCCTTATATTCATCTGTATTCTTACACCAGTATGTTGTTACTTTTGATCTTAGAAGTATACATCGATTGATTAAACTTAATATGATTAAGAACATGCGGTGAGAATATTTTTAACATTTATAGTTTTTGCTTTTGTATGACAGAATAACAATATATAAAACACATTATAATGTGTGCATTCTACAGAAGATATAGACTATTTTTTGTTCGGCTTTCCTAAGGTGAAATTATAAATTGACCAAACTTATGTTTATTCCGCAAGATGTATTTCGACAATACTCACTTTAAATGATTATCAAAAAACTTTACATAAAAAATGTAGCATAGCAAGTTTTATGCAAAAAGCCTTAAGTAAGTTCTTAGGAATGTAGTTATTTCTGTGATTAACAAGAAATCACCATTTTGATTTGTTTTGTGTAAAATATTACTCTTTACATATAATGGGTTATATTTGATTAACTATCTATAATTCATATTTTTCATTCAAGTGAACCAGGTTTGCTAGAAGTGCTGGAAAACTTCTATATGAAATATCCTAAGAATGATTTTTTGCAAATATTATCTTTCAGAATATGTTTAGAAATTAATATCACATATCATTTCAAACTTCACCCACACACATCATTAAATATAAATATACCTTGGTTTACAAGCTAAGTTAAAGCTAGTGCTTGAGAACGTTTAGAACTTATCATCCTACCTCAATAAAACCCTGAAATATGTGGACCACGAAACATGGTTTTTATTTACTTCTGGTGACTCAACGGTAAGTATAGAGGCTTTTATAACACTAAAAACCGGGTTTAAATAAGCGCAGCAGACACAGCAAAGATAGCCACTGTGCAGCTTTGTGCTTGAAAACAAACAAAAAAAAGCTTTTTATTTCAGAAATTATAAGTTATCATATTTTGTTTAATCCCTTCATGGTGATTTATTCTTTTTCTTTACTTTGAACGACATTAGTATTTTAGTAATTACTTTCTTTGATATTACTTTGACTGTAATAGTAAGCTGTTTTACATAATGTCACTTCTTCGTAAGGAATTTATATTTATAGTTGTTCCAATCTTTTTCAAATTTATCTTCAATACAAATTGCGTATTTAAAAAACCGAAAACATTACACAATTCTTTCTTAAAAAATATTAGTTGAAACAAAATTTAATTATATATTAGATATTTTTAGATTTATGTTTAATAATAATGCTCAAAATATAAAGTCTTGATACATCATATTTCCACCAATTGGAAATTAACAAAAGGGCTGAGAATGGCTGTATGGTAAGCGTGCCGGACTGTGATTTACATCTTGTTTCCGAAAACAAAATTGCTCTACCCACCTTCTGATGCGTTTAAAGAGTTTCAGACGAATCCTACTTTTCAATTAAAGTAGACCAAGAATTGATGGTTGGTGTATTTGGCTATCTGTCTTTCATCTCGTCTATCATTTCAAAATTAGGGACGACTAACGCAGATAGTTCTTGTGTATCTCTGCACGAATATTCATAACAAACCGAACCAATTTAACAAAGTACATAATTAGTAATAGAAAAAATCATTGATTATTATGATACCAAATTATTAGTTACTAGGATATTGGGTATTATTTCATCCTATTTTCTATAACTCTTCTGGCTTTTTGGCCAGACATTTGTTGAACAAAAAAATTCCGTTCCATTATTAACTCTTCTTTTATGTTCCAATTATGTTTTTTTTACCTTTTCTTTCCATTTTTGAAAAGTTGTATCTTTGAGTTTCTCGTATTGACCATAAATGTTTTACTAAATATTTCTTCAAACTTCTGATCATCAGTTCTAGCTTTTTCGTCCCTTTTGCCAAAATAATTATATCATCTGAATTCTAATTACAATCCCTTAACTTTAGTTCTTCTTCAAATGTTCAAAGAAATTAAATAACGTCAAGCTTTACGGGCTCAAAAATCAACCTTGTCTTACTCCTTTTATAGTCAAGTATTTTTCGTCTGCTTATTTCATCCTTATTATGTTGCCTGCTTATTGCCTTGTTTACTACATTCTATAAACATTACAAAGTTGGTCCCGATTTATCAAATCGAAGACGGACTTGATATCCGATAATGTGCATATAATTACCTTCTTTTCCTTTTCAGCTTTTCTCTGTATCAACGAATACAGTATGAATATACTATCAAAATTAATTTAAAAAAAAAAGAGTCAATGTGGGCTTTGGATCTGTTTTTTTATTCCATTGCAACTTTTATGTGTGAATACAAAATCTGTTTTTTATCTAAATAAAAGTGGGCCGGCATGGCCAGGTGCTTAGGGTGCTCAACTCGTAATCTGAGGGTCGAGGGTTCGTTCGAATCCTCATCCCACCAAACATGCTCGCCCTTTCAGCCGTGGCGGCCTTATAATGTGACGGTCATCCCACTATTCGTTG